CTGCAGCCGCTCCCACCACTGTAGCAGCTCCCACCGCTGCAGCAGCTCCCACCTCACCCCTGCAGCAGCTCCCACCTCACCACTGCAGCCGCTCCCACCACTGTAGCAGCTCCCACCTCACCACTGCAGCCGCTCCCACCACTGTAGCAGCTCCCACCGCTGCAGCAGCTCCCACCTCACCACTGCAGCAGCTCCCACCTCACCACTGCATCCATTGAAGGTATTTGAGGCTGTGAGTTTTTCTTGTGAGGTAACCCTATTTGTCTTTAATTTTTTCTCACAACTCATCAAACTATTAAAAACTTATTTGTATGTTCATGTGCCTGAATGAGCCCAGGTGCCTTTGGAGGCCAGAAGAGGCATCAGGCCCTGGCCAATGAGGTTGCCAGGGACCCAACTCAGGTCTCTGGTAGAACAGCCAAGGGCTCTTAAGAGATGAGCCATCTCTTAAGCCCTCCCTGGGATTTTTATGAGCCTTCTTTTTACCATGTTTTGAATTTTTAAAAAAGATTTATTTGTTTTATGTGCATTGGTGTTTTGCCTGTGTCTGTGCAGGGGTGTTGGATCCTCTAGAACTGGAGCTACAGACATTTGTGAGCTGCCTTGTGGGTGCTGGGAATTGAACTCGGGTCCTCTGGAAGAGCAGCCATTTCTCTTAACTGTTGAGCCATCTGTTTATCTGATTTTCCTTTCCTTTTTTTTTCTTTTTGTATTTTTTATCTAGTGATCTGTGGCAAAGAAGAAGACTGAAGAACTGATTTAATTGGTCACGTTGAAAACATCACCATTTATTTAGGCTTTCTTCCCCTCATCTTTTGCTCCCCTCCCCTTCTCTTTTCCCCTTCCCTCCTCTTCCCTCCCCTTCTCCCCTCTTTTCTCCTCCTTCCCTTTCCCCTCCTCTGCTCTCCTCTCTTTCCCCCCCTCCTCTCCCCTCTCCTCTCCTGTCCTTGTGTCCCCTCCACATTTTTTCTGTCTCTTCTTTGCCTCTCCCTCCCCTCCTCCTCCAGGGCTGAGTAATGAACCCAGGGTCTGCGCTTGTTAGACAAGCGCCTGTCACTATCACTAAGCAGCACCTCCACCTCTATCTTTTTCTATGTAGACATTCGTCAAGCTTGGCTGGGACTAGAAATGTGAGCCACATGTCAAAGCTGCAAGCCAGATAGATGTTCCTTTTCATCATTGTCTTTGGGAGGGTCAGATATAGCAATGGTGACACTTTCTGGACCGAAAATGGGCACACATAATTTGCTATGTGGGAAATCTTGGCAGGTCCGGGGACAGAGTATAAAACTGCAAACACAGCAGGTTTTTGTTTGTTTGTTTGGTTGGTTGGTTTGTTTTTGCATGATCCCTTGTTGCCTTTCAGATGCTATTACTGTGCTGGGGAAGCCCCATTGGTTTCATTGGCTTTATCGACACCTTTGTGATCCAGACATTTGTGGATCTGAGGCTTGTGGATTCATTTCTTTCTCCCCTCACCCACCCTCCCCCACTTCTCCCACCCACCTTCCTCCACTCCCCACCATCCTCCCCCACTCCCCCCTGTGCTGGTGAGAGAACCCAGGACCTTGCATTTGCTGCCAAGACCTCTACCATTGAACTAAATTCCTGAACTCTGATGTTTTGTTTTGTTTGTTTTTCTATTGACTGTTTTTTTTTTTCCAGAAAGTCATAAGCTCGTAGTTTGCCTTTTCTAGTAAAAAGAGAGTTGAAGGATATAAGGTATAACAGAAAATCATTGAGTTTTTTTTTTCTTTCTTACATTAATTTACCATGACCACGTGACTTAAAGCACAGAAACCTGTAATCCCACAAGCAAAGTGCTGGCAGGCTTGGCTTCTCCTGCCATCTCCCCAAGGCTTGCAGATGTCACCTTTTCACTGTCTTTATGTGTCCTTCTCTCCGTGTGTATGCATCTCCATCACACTCTGGGTAACTACCCACCCCCAAGGAAGCCAGTCAGATTGTATCAGCATCCGCGCCTACAACATTATTTCAACATGATCTTCTCTTTAATGGTTTCATCTCCAAGTCTGGTGACACCCCAAGGCCCCGAAGGGTAAAGTGTTGACATGACTTGTAAGATGGCATTCCTTTCCTTGAGATAAACGAGATTAAATTTGCTTTGATACTCGAGCATTTTTATAAAAGGTGCTTGGTGGCTGAAAGCCTTTATGTTGAGAACAGATGTGACCTTGTGTCGTTCTGAAGACTTAGGACCTGTTCTCAAGAAAGGTTAGGTTAGCTTTCTGCACTAAGTCATTGCTTGTGCGTGTCCTTAGTAAGTATTCAAAGACTGGAAGACCAGTCAGAAGCAGGGTAAGAATTAAATCACAATGAAGACAAGACACATGGAGAGTGACGAGGATTTTCAGTTGCCAAGGCCCAGAGGGACATTAGGGACATTTATACCATCATTTATTTACATTCAAACATCAATTTTAATGTAAATATTCAGGTACTTTCTTTTTTTTTTGGGGGGGGGATGGGGGAGTGTCTAGACAGTGTTTCACTGTGTAGACCAGATTGGCCTTGAACTCAAAGAGATCCATTTGACTCTGCCTCCCGAGTGCTGGGTTTAAGTGTGTGCACCACCACAGCCTGATTTAGAAACTTCCTCTAATTCCGTGGTGTCCCACATAATTTCCCCTAAATCTAGGCTGTTTTCTCTACAGTCAGTCATCTGTCAGGACCCAGGTCACTCTGTGACTGGAACATAGGTTGATCTAGCCCCAAATTCCACCTCACTTCCCCTAAGGGTCCTTTCTTTCTTTTCCAGCCCTGGGCATTAATCTTTAGTTATTATAATTTTTATATTAATTTATTACAAATTTCCTGAGGGGACGGAACTTGTTTTTGTTGCTGTGTATGTCAAGAACGTGCAAGCCTTTGCTGCTTCAGCTGGACTCCGGCCACTGACTGCCAGGCGCTGGAAACAGACCCTGAAAGTGGCCCCTCCTGGTTTGCACAGGACTTGGGAGTTTCCTGGAAGGGAATTCTCAGTGTTAAGTCTCTAAAGTCCTGAAGGCACTGCCGATGTTGTCCAACCTAAGCCGTCAGTTTCCCTGGATTCCCTTCGGCATTTGAATCGGTGGCCCAGGGTGTCTCAGCAGAGTTGAACTGTAGCAGAGAGGAGAGGTCTACTATGGGTACAGGATCAGGGACCTCTCTTAGGTCATTTTCTCTTTCATCTTGTCTATTCCACTCCAGTTTTAACCTTGATTCCCAAGACCACCTCCTGAACAACTATTTGCCTTGAAGTATGCTTCTGAGGGTAGCCAGTCTAGAGAACGGTTGTTTCTTCTGATGAGGTGGAAAGGGAATACATTCCTTTTCTCCATGCTGTGGCAAAATACCGTCACTGGAGTAAGGGTTTATTCCAGTTCATAGTTTAAGAAGGGATACAGCTCACCATGGCAGAGAGGGCTGGCAGGGGCTACAAGACAGCTACTCAGTGCGTGGGAATGCAGACAGACAAACACTGGCTCTCATCTGATTCCTTGTCTTCTATTTGTTCAGTCTGGGATCTCCTTCAGGGCACCTCCCTCCTAGTGATCCTCTCTGGAAACATCTTCACAGATATCCAAAGGTGAGCCCCCAAATGCCAGGGGCACTCTCAAGTCAATCAAACTGACCATGATGATTAAACATGGTGAGGCAGGGTTTGAGATGAAAGTTGTGTTGGGAGATGGTTTCAGAGATGAAGTATTACTGAATCAGTTAAAATGACAAGGTGACAGCCGGGCAGCGGTGGCGCATGCCTTTAATCCCAGCACTCGGGAGGCAGAGGCAGGTGGATTTCTGTGAGTTTGAGGCCAGCCTGGTCTACAAGAGCTAGTTCCAGGACAGGCTCTAAAGCTACAGAGAAACCCTGTCTTGAAAAACAAAAATAAAAATAAAAAAATAACAAGGTGACATGGACTTTGTGGGCAGACAAGTCTGGGAGGTGTGACCTTGGGTCAGAAGGAGGTGAGGAAAGAGGCCTGGTGACAGTGTCCAGAACAGGAAAAGAGTGGATAGCTAGGCTTCACACAGAGTTAGCTGGGAGTCTTGTGTTGAGGGAAACACCTGGCTTGTCAGATGCGCTGATAAGTTTACTCGCTCTGACAAATGGAGTATTGCTGTTGCTTTGAGAAGGAACCTAAGGGAAGAGAAGATTGTAATAGGTGAGGGAATGGCTGGAAACTGAAGATGCTGAGAAGAAATAAGTTCAATGCCTAAGGACTTAAGGTCTTAAGGGCTTGGGAAGCAGCCAGAGTGCATGCTTAACATATATTAGCCCTGGGTTCAACCCTCCAAAGGAAGTGAAAAGTTCAGATAAAGGATGTGTGTAAGAAGTGCCAAGGTGATTCTAAGAAACACATTGTCAGTGACATTTCTTACTGGAGGGTTGGAAGTAGGTCAGGCGAGGATCTCTCAGGGCCCAGCCCCATGCCTGGTTACACACTGTGCTGGTGGCTCCCTATGGGAAGCCTGAAAAGAGCCTAGGTTAGAGGAAGGACATGAAGGGCTCTGTAGTTGGTCTTCCTTATGACTGACAGTTCCCAAATAATCACATGGAAACTTCTTATTAATTGTGAATGCTTGATAGCTTAGGCTTATTCCAAGCTATCTCTTATAACTTAAATAAATCCATGCACATTAATAAATGTTCTGGCACATGGCTCGTTACCTCCTATACTGTATATCTGACTCCCTCCTCGTCTCACTGGTTTAATCCCACAAGCTTCAGATTCTTCTGGAGTTTCTTTCTCTCTCTGGAAACCCTGCTTACTCTCTCATGCCTAGTTATTCAACTCCTGATTAAACCAAGCAGAAAGCACCTTAGGCAGAGACACGTCTTCACAGTGTACAAAAAGATTATGCCACAACAGGGTTATATATTGTCTGGAAAGTTTGGAGGGTGGTGGGACACCTGTCAGAGACTTCGTGGAGGACCCGAGAGAGGGCAAGTCCTAATGTGTTCCATAATTATGATTGTCATTGCAGGTCTCTCTCCAATGGCTTCCATTCTCCGGTCTGTCCCACGGGTCTTTAGGGGCTATCAGTGTGCCTCAGTCCCTCTCTCAGCAAGAATGTTCCAGAAAAGAGCAGATGAGAAATGTACCCTGGCTAATAAAGTGGCTGTGGTCACTGGCTCTACAAAAGGGTGAGCGATGGAAGTCCCTGGCTGGCTTGTTACTAGGAGACGTTGCCATGGTACCCATGGATACACTCATCTCATATATCCCTGTGGTCTCCCCCCGCCCCCCATCACACAGCTCTGGTATTTCACTCTGTGTCTCAACATCTCTCCCTAAAATACCAGGTTTCTGAGCTCCAGAAGATTCGTAGTTACAGAACCAGCTGCTCTAAGACAATCAGGGCAGAGTCTGAATGTTGCCTCTGACCATCTGACAATCCGTAATAAACAGTGACCACTAGAATAGCACATCTGCTTCCTTGTCTTCCATATCTACCTGGCCAGTGTTTTTTGAGTATTCCGCTAACAGAAAGAAGCCTGACATCTACTGTGCCTTAGACTCATCCTGCATATAGTACCAGGCATGTGCAGGCTGATGACTGACCACCAGCTCAGAGAGTTCTATGTACCCTTGCAAGGCCTCCCATATCCCCCAGTTCCATCTGTCTTCTGGCTCCTGTAACAATATGCATTTATAATGAGTACTTACCATCATCAGAAGGAGGGGAGACTGCCATCCTCTTGATCTTTTATGGTCTTAACATCACCAATACATTTAGAACGGTTTAGAATTTCTGGGGAAAACAAAAGAACTAGAGTATCCAGATCCCAGTAATGTCTTAAATCTTTTGTATGCTCCCTCTTCTCAATATTCATAACTCATAAAATACACTTAAAATTCTCAACCGCCCAGAAAGTTTCAACAAGACACGGGCACATGCCTCTTTCTTTTCCATGATTGGAGCTGCTTAACCAGTACCGGTCCAGAGTCCAGACCTCCTCAGTGTTAGGAGACCTAGGCGATAGCACGTTCTCTGGCAGAAACATTTTAAAATTGCAGAACAGAGGGAAGGCATTAGTTTAGGAAGCATACAATCCCTGCCAGAGCCCTGAGGCCGGGGAGGAGAATAACAGGGCTGACTAGTTAGGAAGAGTCTCCTTAATTAGTCCTGATACCACCAAGGCCACATCTCTTCTGATGGTGTAGCCTTTTCTTTTCAAAGCTCCTTTAATAAAATATGAGAACATCTTCATCTGTATAATATAATTATCATAATAAAGCTGTGATCATGAAATAAGAAGACCGTGAAGGCCTGGCATGTAGCAGGAACTCAAAATGTCTGCTATTGAAGATTTTGAAGCCACTCTTGGACAATATCAGGGAAACAATTGACGTAGTCATTGGAGTCCGCCTGGGAACAAGACGGAGAGGGCCGAAACCATCACCACCATCTCCTCTTCTGCCCACAGGATTGGCTTTGCCATCGCCCGGCGTCTGGCCCAGGATGGGGCCCACGTGGTCATCAGCAGCCGGAAGCAGCAGAATGTGGACCATGCAGTGGCCACACTGAAGGAGGAGGGGCTGAGTGTGACGGGCACTGTGTGCCATGTGGGGAAGGCTGAGGACCGCCAGCACCTTGTGGCCACAGTAAGGAGCCATGGGCTGGGATAGACGGAAAGACACTGATCTAACCCTGGCACGAGGAAGCTGGGGTCTCCAGGGCTGTAAATGAGGCTAATCCCACATTCTCAGGGTAGTCCAATTTCCTGCCTGGAAGGAAACAGCCACACTGCTCGTGCTAATTCGAGAGATGACTAGTGTTTGGGCGTGACCGAGGAGCTTGCCTAGAACCTCAAAGGGGCCATAGTTGCTGCAGCCCCAAGTGCTCTGTCTCCACAATAAAGTCTGAGCTGTGTAGCCCTGCCCCAACGTGTACTGTATTGATAGCCCATTAGGCTAACCTCTGAAACAAAAGCTTTAGGCTCAGGTCATGTGGTGATCCCCCTGGAAGAAGTGAGTGGTGAGGTGGGATCTGAAGGAACAGGAACTGGACAGGTGTTGAGGACAGAGGATTGGTTCAGGCCAGAGAAAAAGGCAGAGAAGGAACCAACTAGAAATGGAAGAGCTGAAAGCAGGTCCCCTAGGAGCAGAGGTTTGGAAGGGTGGGGTTGGAAGGGTGGGGCCCAGGAGCCAATCACAGATCTTACAGGGAAGAAACTAGATGCATCCAAGGAGGCAAGAATTGCAGTTTTATTCAGTCTCTGTCAGGATCCAGCTCTAACCTGGCACAGACCCAGGATGGCCAGTAAGTCACTGTGGTCACAATACTTGGCAGAAACAACTTAAATAAAGGTTTCTTTTGGTTTGTGGCTTCAGTCCATCATTCTGGGGAAGGCATGGGTGTGGAAGTGTGTGGTCAAGTCTGTTCCCATTTCTGTAGACAGGGAAGCAGAAAGTGTGGTCTGTACTGTGGGCAGGCCAAGTATAGCCTGCAAAGGACTGCTCCCAGTGACCTTCTTTTTCTTTTTTAAATGCTATTTGCTTCCTTCTTTTTTAAAATTTTATTGATTTTTATTGAGCTCTACATTTTTCTCTGCTCACCTCCCTGCCTCTCCCCTCCCCTCTTCAATCCTCCCCCAAGGTCCCCATGCTCTCAATTTACTCAGGAGATCTTTTTTTTTTTTGTACTATCCATGTAGATTAGATCTCTGTAAGTCTCTCTTAGTGTCCTCATTGTTGTCTAAGTTCTCTGGGATTGTGGTTTGTAGGCTGGCTTTCTTTGCTCTATGTTTAAAAATCACCTCTGAGTGAATGCATGTGATAATTGTCTTTCTGGGTCTGGGTTACCTCACTCAAAATAATGTTTTCTAGCTCCATCTATTTTCCTGCAAAATTCAAGCTGTTGTTATTTTTCTCTGCTGTGTAGTATTCCACTGTGTAAATGTACCACATTTTCCTTATCCATTCTTTGATTGAGGGGCATTTAGATTGTTTCCAGGTTCTGGCTATGACAAACAATGCTGCTATGAACATAGTTGAGCACATGTCCTTGTGGCACGACTGAGCATCCTTTGGATATATACCTAAAAGTGGTATTACTGGGTCTTGAGGAAGGTTGTTTCCTAATTGTCTGAGAAATCGCCACAAAGGGGTTGTACCAGCTTGCATCCCCACCTTCTCCCAAGGTCCCCATGCTCCCAGTTTACTCAGGAGATCTTGTCTTTCTCTACTTCTCACGTAGGTAGATTAGATCTATGCCCTCAGTGACCTTCTGCCAGCTTGGCTCTGCCTCCTAAAGATCCATTGCCTCCCCAGTGTAATAGCTGGGAAAAATACAGACAGAATATGAGCCTGTGGGGAACGTTTCAGATTTCTCTGGGTCATTACCACTCTTGACTCCGTGCCTTCACCTGTATGCCCTCCCCTTTGTGTTGCAGGCCCTGGAACACTCCGGGGGTGTTGACTTCCTGGTGTGTGTGGCAGGAGTCAATCCTTTTGTGGGAAGCACCCTGGGAACCAGTGAACAGATCTGGGACAAGGTGAGGAGATACCTTCCATACCCTACATGGGGTGTGTGTGTGTGTGTGTGTGTGTGTGTGTGTGTACTCACGATTGCACAAACGCATGTGCACATGCCCGGGTTCCCACACAGCTGTGTCTACACTGGTACTGATGGATGGAGATGGGGCTTCTCTGAGCTGGACTTTGCATAATTCAGTTCAATGGGTGTTGTCCATGCCCAGTCTCTGCCAGGTTTCTGTAGCTTCTGTGTTTCTTCTCCTTGTGTGGGTCACTGCTACTAAGTCCTGAGATGCCAGAAACATTATTTTGGGGGTCTGGCTATGGCAGAGCCCTCTGACTCAGGTTTATGAAACTGTCACAATCTGGATTCATTGGAACCTCGGTGAACCTTCAGTCTGGCTGTTCTAAAGAGCCACAGAAACCAACAGATGGGGTTCTTCCCTAGTTCTGCCGTCTCAGTTGGAAGCCACTGGGAAGTCAGGAAGCTCCCCCTGTCTCTGCAGACCCCCAGTCCTGTTTTCCTGATGAGCCCACCTATGACTAGTCAGATCTGAGCCCCCTCCGGTCCCTGGGGGCAGGGAATGGGCCTGTGATCTGAGTGTACCATTTCTTTCTGTGGCTCTTCTTTCCTTGGCCACCCCTACATTTTCTCTTGGTAGATTGTGCCCCACTTCTCCCTCTGGTTCTCAAGTTCCACGGCCTCCTTGATCTACCTTCCAGTTCCTCTACCTCACCCATCCACCACATTCAGACTTTTCCAGCTCTTTTCTTTTTTTAAAAGATGACCCGATTTGATGCCCAACATTGCATAAATGCTTAACTCAACCTAACCCAACCAAAATCGTATCCACAACAGCACATACACGACGAGCATCACCAGCCCCCATTCTAAACCCTTCATGAGGTAGATTAGGTGCCGAGTACAGATTTCTTTTCTCTTACCCATGCTCCTCCTTCCAGTCAGTCATTGATAACCAAGTTCTTCTCCTTTTCTTCCCCATGCTTCCTGGCCTTTCCCCCGGAAGATTGTAATGGAGGTTGTCTGGGAGCTGAGTATGGTAATTCTCTGAGGCCTGGGGAACTTGGGGCCTCAGAAGTATGTCTGCCCCTGACAAACTCTGACCCTCTGTGCTGGCTGGTCTATGTCAATCTGACATACAAACTAGAGTTGTCAGAGGGTGAGGAGCCCTATTTGAGGAAACACCTCCATAAGATCCAGCTGTAAGGCGTTTTCTTAATCAGTTATTGATGGGTCAGGGTCCAGCCCATTGTGAGTGATGCAATCCCTCCTGGGCTGGTGGTCCTGGGTTCCATAAGGAAACAGGATGAGCTACCCATGGGGTGTAGCACTTCTCCATGGCCTCTGCATCAGCTCTTGCCTCTAGGTTCCTGCCCTGCTTGAGTTCCTGTCCCAACTTCTTTCAATGACGCACAGTAATGTGGAAATGTAAGTCAAATAAGCGGTTTCCTCCCCAACTTGTTTTTTGGTCACGGTATTTCTTCACAGCAATAAAACCCTGACTAAGACACCTTCACACACAGTAAAAGGACTCAGAGTCTCAGCTACCCACCATACTTATGGAGTTTTGTTCTGTTCTGGTGCCCGGACCATAGGCCCCAGACAATGGTGTTCATCTCTCAGTCCAAGCTTTATGTTATTTGGGATTTCAGATCCTGGATGTCAATGTGAAGTCTCCAGCTCTGTTGCTAAGCCAGTTGCTGCCCCACATGGAGAAGAGGGGGTGAGTACATGTGGGGTGGCGATGGGGGCCATGCATTTTCACCGTGAACTCTGAGCTGTTTCCTCTTTGTGTGAAAGCACAGTTTTCTGTTGCTTTTAATTGAATGAGTCTCTAATTTCACTTTGTGTCCCTTTCTCCTCAAGGGGAAGCTCTGTTGTTCTGGTGTCCTCTGTAGTATCTTATTTGCCAATGCCGGTGAGTACTGAGTACAGCAGCCTCTGGCCCACCCACTGAGGGCCAGCTGCCTTGACTCTTGTCAGGCCTTGTTGTGGGAAGTGGGGGAACTGACGGGTGATTCTAGATTTAAAGAGAAGAAGAAGAAGAAGGAGAAGAAGAAGAAGAGGAAGAGGAAGAGGAAGAGGAAGAGGAAGAAGAAGAAGAAGAAGAAGAAGAAGAAGAAGAAGAAGAAGAAGAAGGAGAAGTTGTTCAATATGTACCCCCAAAGCGTGGCACCGTGAATGCTTCAGATCAGATATTATTATCTCAGTTTGCCCTTAAGGGGCAAAATCTGCCATTTGTCTCTAAGTGATGCCAGTTTGTTTCCTGGCAAGACAGGGCCCTCTATCTCCTAATCCCAGATTCCTAATTGACTTCCAAAGGATAAGTGTAGTGTTTCCTGTGTCAAGCTTGGATAGCATGACAGCAACTGGGTGACACAGAGAAGGACCTGACTCCCTGAAAACTCCCGTGGGGGTGGTAAGGAACAAGGGGAGCATCTGTTCAGGCCCGCAGTCTGGCACACCTTCATACCCTGTGTTCCAGGAAGATCCCTTGATACCATATTGATTCGCTGCCTCCTTCTTTGCTTCTCAGAAACTGGGCGTCTACAACACCAGTAAGACAGCCCTGTTGGGCCTCTGCAAGTCTCTGGCTGTGGAGCTGGCTCCAAAAGGCATCCGCGTGAACTGCATAGCGCCAGGAATTATCAGGACTGACTTTGGCCTAGGGGAGAAAGTGGTAAATGCCTCCTGCTCTCAACCCCCCCCACCCTTTCTCCATATGCCTTCTGGTCCCTTTTCAGCCTTCCATCTGAATGGAGGCCCACAGAGCCTGGACATGCAGCCAGAGCCCCCCCCAGGGTCAGAGTTTGGGCAGCAACCCTTTACTCTTCTGCAGATGAGTGAGGCTCCCCGTCTTCTTCGAGCAGACTAGTGTTCATCTCAGGCTCCCACAGAGGTGTAGGTCAGCCATGATGCTCTTCCCACGCCATTGTATCAGCAGTCCTCTGCCTCACACTGGCTTTGAAATCTCTTCCTAGGAGAAAACAATGATGGATATATTGCCTGACATAAATAAAATCTATGGATTGCAGCGGTAAGTAGGGCTCTGGGCTTTGGCACTCTATGTTTAGTTTTAGGGAAAATTATATTTCAAGGTGAAAAAGACCTTGTGGCTATTTTTCTTCCACTCTGCCAGCTGCTTCCCCTTTCGGGAGTCCCGGGTTGGGGGCAGGAGGGCAGATATGAGTCCAACAGCCATCACCTCTGACTGAGCTTGGCGAATGCTAGGTGCCCGTCCCAGAGTGCGGAAGTCCGGATCAGAGTTCAGTGTTTCCTGTGACTTTATCTCTTCTTTCCTTCAGGTTAGGGGAGCCAGAAGACTGCGCCGGGATCGTATCTTTCCTATGCTCCTCAGATGCCAGCTACATCACCGGGGAGAACATCATAGTAGCTGGCTTCTCCCCTAGAGTGTGAAGACACAGTGTGACTTAGAGAGGGAGCTGAGGTCCTCAAGCAGAAAGCAGAGGGCTCGGTGGGATGTAGGTGAAGAGCCTTAGTGTGTGCTTGGGGTCCGGGTCGTATAGGGAACGTGTGGTTAACAATGGTGAAGGAAGGCAGGTGTATAACGTTCTCATTTGGAATAAATCTGTTTGGATACATCTGGATTTGCTTCTGTTTGGCTTCTTTCAGCCAACACAATGTCCTCTAGTTCTGTTCAGGGCGTTGCATACGGCAGGACTTCACAGTTCATAGCTAAACAGTGTGTGATATTCTTCCTCCACTCACCCATCAGTGGGTCCCCAGGTTGATTTACACACCTGAGCTCTTTGGGAGAGTTCCGAAATAGGCTGGGCATACAGACAATCTTTAGTATACTGATTTTGTGCTCTTTGGCTCTATGCTCAGCCATGGAATTACTAGGTGGTATGGGAAGTACTCATGTTTTAGTTTTTCTTACAGAACTACCATACAGTTCTCCATAGTTGTATGCTTCAGTACATTCCCGCCAGTAGTGCTTCCCCACGTCCTGGTTGGCATTTACCTTTGTCTTTCAATGTAGCCTTCCTAACTAGACTGAGATGCATCGCATCAGGGGCTGGATGTGCATTTTCCCAATGACTAGCTTAAGAAGTTTATTCGATCCATTCTTTTTTTAAAAAAAATTTTTAACTTAATTTTTCAATTGAAGATAACTTTTTCATATAATGTATTCTGATCACATTTTGCTCTCCTTCATTCCTCCCACATCCTCCCTACCTTCACACGCTTCCAACTTCAAGCCTTCTTTCTCTTCAGGAAACAGACAAATAAGAAAAATAAACAAACTAGAAAAACAAAAAACAAAAACAAAACACAAGAAACAGACACACACACACACACACACAAAACCTACAAAATTGGAAACCAAGTAAGGTTTTTTTTTTTTGTTTTTTTTTGTTTTTTTTTTTGTTTTTTTTTTACAAAAAGCAACATATGACAAAAGTCCACAAAAATGCCACCGTTTGTTTTGTGTTGGCCATCTACAGCTGGGCACTGGGCCTCCCTTGAATGTGGTTTGTGTACCAACACTTAAGTGAGACAACATGGGGAGAAAAGCAATTTTTTCTTTTGCAAATGGCCATCAATTGGAGCTAGTGTCTTGGTTAGGGAAGGGAGCTGTGTCCACTGTCCCCTCTCAGTGCTGGGACTTGCCTTGCTGGCTGGGACCTGTGCATGCTTTGGCCCATTCTTTTTGTTTGTTTTTGGTTTTAGTTTTTCTTTTTTTTTAATTTATTTATTTATTAAAGATTTCTGTCTCTTCCCTGCCACTGCCTCCCATTCCCCCCCCCCCCAATCAAGTCCCCCTCCCTTGTCAGCCCGAGGAGCAATCAGGGTTCCCTGCCCTGTGGGAAGTCCAAGGACCACTGAAGTAATAAGAGCGGCGGGGCTGCGTCCCCAACACCCCAGCCACCTGCCCAGCTAGCTTATGCCCCGAAATAATTACACAGACACTGTATTCTTTTAAGCACTGCTTGGCCCATTCTCTTCTAGGCTAATTCTCACATATTAATTTAGCTCATTTCTAATCATCTGTGTGTAGCACCCCAAGGTGCGCTTATCGGGGAGATTCTAGCCTATGTCCATCCTGGGTCGGAGCTTCATGCTGGGAGCGGGGCATGACGTCTCTGCTGAGGCGTCTGCTCCGGAGAGCAGAGCTGTGGAGTCTCTGAGCTCACTTCCTCTTCCTCCCAGTATCCTGTTCTGTTTACTCCACCCACAGGGCCAAGCAGTTTCTTTATTGGCCAATGACCTTCCTCCATCAGACCACCCACCTCCATCCAGGTCTAGTAAGGTGAGCATCCAAACTGCCTAGGCTCCCACAAAGCCAGTACGTGCAGTAGGATCAAAAACCCATTGCCATTGTTCTTGAGTTCTCAGTAGTCCTCATAGTTTTTCAAGACAGGGTTTTCTGTGTTGCTCTGACTGTCCTAGAACTCACTCTATAGACCAGGCTGGGCTCAGACTCCCAGAGATCCACCTGCCTCTGCCTCTTGACTCCTGAGATTAAAGGCATGTGCCAACAGCACCCAGCCACTGTGGTCCATTCTTCAATAAGATTGCTTATTTTGCCACAAAGTGTTTTCATTTTTTTTCTGGGTATTAATTCCTTGTCAGAAGCATAGTTTTCAAGAGTAGTCATGTATCACTTGTGGGTAAGGACACCAGTGTAGGAATGTGCTCTTAGGTGACTTTGCTATAGTGGGGACGTAGAGTACACCTGACATGCTAAGATGGCTATGATGTCACTAGGCAAGGTGACGGGCCACTGTCACATATGAAGATGTTAAGCACCTTTCCCCACTTTGGTAGATTGTCTTGTTTCTCTTTTGATTGTTTCTATTGCTGTGAAGCTTTTCATTCTTTAATCTCATTTGCTAACTCTCACTTTTTTTTTCTAACTCTCACTTTTATCCATGCGTTTGAACCGAATTTTTAGTAATCAGGGTCCTGAGTGGTGAGGTGCTGAGTGCGAGGACAGAGGACAAGAAATGAAGATGACGAAAGCTGTAGCTGGGACCAGGAGGTCTTGTGTAAATCATGGTTTACGTCAAACAAGTTCATCAGGAAGTACAGCATCGTACATGCTGTTTACAGCGGGGAACGGGCAAGGTCAGCAGAGAGCTGAGTCAGTGTTGGTAAAGAGAACGTGGGTACCCAGATACAGCTGCCTGAGGACTGATAACTATTGTACCCAGAGTCCAGACCCCCAAAGACCACCAAGAGACCAGATCCAATGCAAAAGCAAAGAGTCTTTTAATTGCAAGTTCAAACCCAGGTCTCTTGTCCATCTGACAGGGCGGTGGAGTAGGAGAGACCCCGAGCAGTGCTGGGGCAGGGTATATATTGTGGGTAAAAGCAAGGGGGTCTAGGGTGCTACAGACTGCACAGGAACAGACTCAGGATTGGTGTACCTCTGCTGGGGGCACCTGTTCTTGAATTGGTTATCTGCAGCTGCAGGGAGGTTGCTAGCTCTTGGGCAGTTGCCGTGGTTACTACACTCCACCTTTATCAGGAAAGGGCATTCGGAGCCTGCTAACTTAACTTCTGATTGGTTCCCTACCATATAGGAGGTATCTCTGAGTTTCTTGTTAGCAACAAGGGCAAGAACAGGGGCACTGTATCAGGTTAGGGGCACAACACATCCTGTCATATCCTGCTGAATCAGAGGCCTGCATCCTGCTGGGTCTCTTCTGCAGCCTGTCATGACTGGAACGGTCAAAGCAGGGGTCTAGGCAGCTCAGAGGGAAGAGTTGGATCCCCAGAAATTTCGGCCTTGACTCCTATGAGGCACTGGCTCCAGCCCTAACAAGACCTCTCCAAGTCTACCCCTGGACAAGGACACAGGACTGAAGTTCCCTTTGTCCTTTCATCTGGGCCTCTGAGGAAGTCTCGGGTAGATCTGGCTCCCCACTTGTTTTTGCGATCATATCCAGAAAGTTCCTTGTCTGGACAAACATCATGAAGCAGTCCCTGCCCCCACACAACATCATAAAACAGTCCCTGCCCCCCATAGCATCACGAAATGGTCCCTGCCCCCATAACATCATGAAGCAGTGCTCCGCCCTCATAGAATCATGAAGCAGTTCCCGCCCCCCCCCATAGCATCATGAACCAGTCCCACCCCCTCCCCCCATAGCATCATGAAGCAGTTACTGCCTCCCCATGTTTTTTGTTGTTTTCATGTCTGGCCTCAAGTCACATCTCTTTCTATTAGCTGAGTTTCACTGAGTCTGGTCTATACATTCAGGCTTCAGGGGTTAGAGACAGAATTTGGGGAGTCCCTTCTTCTGTCTCTTTCATTGCCGGGCTTCTCATTTATTTAGTAGCTTTCAGACTGTTGTCCTTGGTAGTGTTTTCTTATGTCGTGGTTGTCTTCTTAGGGGAGTCATCTGGCAGCACTTTATGATTCCTAGAAAATTCTTATTTTATCTTAAAATTGAAATATAACTATATCACTTCCCCCTTTCTTTTCTTTCCTTCAACCCTTCCCATTTACCTTGTTTTCTCCCTACTCTCTCTCAAACTCATGACCTCTTTCCTTTCAATATTGTTACACACACATGTCCACACTTCTAAATATATAATTACAACCTGTTCAGTCCTGTAATGTTACTTATATGTATATGATTTCAGGGTTGACCACTTGGCATTGACTAACAAATTAGGAGGTGTTAGGAATTTTTCCTAACAAGAGCTCTCTGCCAATGCAAAAATCCCAATCAAGCCAAATCACAACAAGCTGAATTAAAGAATATCCAGGTTTAATGGGATTCCTTAATCTGGACTTTCCGGGGAGCAATTTAAATAGACTAGGGGAGTGGTCAAGGTTTGGGTGGGCTGTCTTGCCCCTCCTCAAGGGAGGGGTCAAGGTTTGGCGGGCACAGGGAAGGGGACTTACAGGAGGTTCTTTAACTTTTTAATTTAAAAAAAGGTTCAGGGTAGTAGCTGACACTCAGAAGCCTCATAGCTAAGATTCTGGAAGGGGCTTTGAAATGGCACAGCTGTCAGAGGCTGTACCTAAAGGGTGACCAAGGATCATAAGAAGGGAAGCTTTGTACCTAGGACAGAGAGGGCCTGAGGAGACAAGCTCCACTGGGAGCAAAAGCCAGGAGCAAATCCAGTCCCGGAAGACAGCTCAGTCCTGGGACACTGGCAGACCTGGACTGAGCCAGTGACCAGATCAAGAGTCAGTGATCTCCACAGGAACATTTTCAGGGGATTCAGACAAGGATTTACAGAAACAGATCAAAGCCAGAAACCTAGGCCAAAGTATGCCCGAGACAGCAAACTGCAAGGGAGCAGTGCAAAATACAGGAACACTGAGCTATCTCCAGGAACAGGAGTAACCAACCGGGTAACTAGAACTGTGACACTGACTGTACCATGAGGAACAACCATCTGAGCCTTGAATTCACTGACACCTAGAAGATTAT